AAAAAAAAAAAAAAAAAAAAAAAAGAAAACGAACATATGCCAACATATGCCAAATTTAGGGTGATCTGGCGAAAAAGAAAATCTACCCAACGCTATGGTGGTTATTCAGAGACAATCTTCTACCAAAAACCACTACATTCTTCGGTTACGCGCGCACGAATATGACCGTGTCCCAATTGAGAGAGAAATGCCATCCGTATATGAAAGTGAAACCAGATGAGCAAGAAAAATACGAGGAGTTTTGGAAATTGAATCACTATGTCTCTGGCATGTACGACTCGCAGAAAGGATTCGAGGTGCTGAACAATGAACTGAGGCAATACGAGCGAAATTATCAAATCGCTCACAGATTATTTTACTTGGCCTTGCCGCCGAGTGTTTTTGAAAGCGTAACCGTACATATTAGGAATGTCTGTATGGGTGACAAGTAAGTTGCTTAATTTCATAATTGAAACATTAAACATATTGTCGTCATGTATATTTTCTTCCCCTTTCTCGTGAAGAGGATGGACCAGAGTGATTATAGAGAAACCATTTGGTCGTGACGCGACTACATCGCAACAGTTATCCGACCATCTAGCATCGTTATTTGGAGAAGATCAAATTTATCGTATTGATCATTACCTGGGCAAAGAGATGGTTCAGAATCTAATGACCCTGCGATTTGGTAATCGAATATTCGGCCCAACCTGGAACAGAGACAACATAGCTTCGGTACAAATTACATTTAAAGAACCGTTTGGCACGCAAGGAAGAGGCGGCTATTTCGATGAATTTGGCATCATTAGGGATGTGATGCAGAACCATCTGTTGCAAATTTTATCGTTGGTTGCGATGGAAAAGCCCGCGTCTTGTCATCCGGATGATATCCGAGACGAGAAAGTGAAAGTGTTGAAGTGCATAAAGCCTCTGGTGTTGGAGGATGTTGTACTGGGTCAGTACATTGGTAATCTAGAGTCCAATGATCCTGATGGTCAACTTGGCTATTTGGATGATCCTACTGTACCAGCTGGTTCTAATACTCCCACGTTTGCTCTCGCCGCGTTGAGAATTAATAACGAACGATGGGACGGGGTTCCATTTATCCTTAAATGTGGGAAAGGTAATATATTGTGAGAGCATTAATTTGGAAAATGGACTGATCTCTTAATATATGGTCAGTTTTATTAATGTGGAATATATATTTATAATTAGCATTAAATGAACGGAAGGCAGAAGTTAGAATACAATACCAGGACGTACCTGGTGATATATTCGATGGAAAAGCAAAGAGGAATGAATTGGTAATTAGGGTACAACCAGGTGAAGCGTTGTACATTAAAATGATGACAAAATCGCCTGGTATTACATTCGATATGGAGGAAACAGAGTTAGATCTTACATATGGTTATAGATACAAGGTAAGTCCAAGAATCCTCTATTCATTGTATTCATGAGAGTTTGTTTAAACTTTAGAAATGCTTCTATTAACACGTATATATAACATAGCATCTGAAGCTTCCGGACGCATATGAACGACTAATATTGGATGTATTTTGTGGCTCACAAATGCATTTTGTACGTAATGATGAACTTTCGGAAGCATGGAGAATTTTCACACCTCTGCTTCATCGAATAGAAAAAGAAAAAATCAATCCAATTCCGTATAAGTAAGTTACGTTAATTAAAAATATTTTCGTTCTTTTACTAGTCTAGAACCATTTGTTTCAAATTTAGATATGGTTCACGAGGACCTAAAGAAGCGGATGAAATGGCAAAGACAAATAACTTCCTCTATTATGGTTCGTACAAATGGGTGAAACCATAAATAAAATTTTTATAAAATGTAAAATGTACATACATACTATGTAGATCGCAAAAAATTATACCACATCTGTGATCATTCCATATATTATACATCAAAATGTATAAACGTGATCTGAAATTTTATACAAACATTCCAACTAATTTATATATTTAATTTATTAAGAAATTGAATTCATTTACTTTTCGAAACATTTCCTAAGTGTAAAATTTGTTTTACTAGTTAAAGTGTGTACAGATAATATTATATGAGTTGAAATAAGCTTTGGACATATGGTAAATATGCACATGAAAAGTAATATCTATAAATAAAATGTGACTGTTTCATTTTTAAACATATATCATTCCAGGGAACAATTTGTAATAGATACAAAATATTTTATATCTATATATATTATACACATATCTTTATATAATAAATGCAATTTGTAGATAATTTTTTAAAAACTTTTCCGATTTAAAAATTACAACTTTTATGTAGATCATAATTTTATTTACTTTTGATGATTTAAATATAACGTCAATGACATAAAAGATCCTGTACAGTAAATAAGATAACATAAGTTACGTGGTACTTTGCGCTGAAATTATTTAAATATACATTACAATAAATAAATAAGAGAAAGTTGAATATTCAGTCTATTATTTATATAATCTACACTTTAAATATCCATCTATTAAATGAAATAATACTATGAGAGGGAAGCACCATAGGAGTGCTCTATAGATTTTTGTATCATGAGTTTATATACAATTGATTTTGCTACTCAGCTCTTTCTTTCTCTCTCTTTCTCTCGTATAAAGATCTATACGTAACACACAGGTCAAACGCGCGTTACTGCCACATTTAGTAATGAAACATTTAATTTATAAAATTAACAAATTTTTAAGAAAACCAGTTTAAATTAAATTAATAATTATACGTGTTAACATTTATATGTCTGTAAATATACGTTGTACACTGTGTCATAATAATTATTACCATTATACAATGGTGAGTCACAATGAAATAGAATACATATAAAAATTATACAAAATATGGGAAGTTCCAGTTGGTATACGATTCGTAGTTACATTAAAAATTAATTTACAGAAACTTAGATAACATGAATGTGAACAGTATGAACCATATATTTGAATAAAGTTATCCTAGTTCTTCTTGATTATATATATTCTCTTACAACTATAATAGTAATAATAAAATATTGCTGTAAGCAATGCACATTGAACAAATTAAATACACACAAACAAATGTAAAAATATTACACATTATCTCGTAAACTATCTTTAAAAAGTCACTAGTCTTTTGTCTTAAACGTTCATCAGATTAGGACCATTCACTGATCAATGTAACAAAACAAATATGAATTTAGTTTCCAATGCATCGATATGGCAATGTTTTTTTTTTTTTTTTTTTTTTTTGAACACTTCACAATAGTATATAATTTATAAAAACGTCAAAATTTGATCCAGGTCTATGAGTTGACGAAAATACGATTTTAATATATATATATGTGTATATATATATATATTATATTACACTTATTAAAAATTTAAATCTCACACGCTTCAGGATCCAATAATTCGTCCCAATTAATACTTCTTTGAAATACTTCTTGTTGTAACCATAATTCGTAATGTTGTTTAAATTCATCGCTTAATTCCACATTTACTCCGAGTACTGACGTAACAGAGTTATCAACAGGTTCCATATCTTTATCTTTAGGAATATTAGTATATCGTAAGTTATTAAATCGATCAACGCAAGAACGTAATACACACTCATCAACTTGGAAATCCCAAGGTCGCGCTTCTAGATCTAATAACAAAAAAAAAAGAGATTATTTGTACTTTGTTTTTAAAAATACAAATTCTAAATTACATAAGAAGTATTAGAAAATTTTGTAGGATACATTACCATTGCCATAAGCCCAATCATCATTTAAACGATGTCTAACTTTTGCATATATTGCACTGATGGTTTTCATGTTAGTTTTCCGCCATTGTCGTCCTAAGTACCTAGTTTGCATTTTTAGTAATTTTAAGACATATAATTGCATCATTGCGTGTCTGACTTTTAATGTACGTTTCAATATGGGTGCCGATTTAAATACGACTAACATCTGTAGATGGATAAAGTTAAAACATTCACAGTAAATAAATAAATATAATAATTAAAAATAGCAAATACCATAATTCTACTATGTTTCCATTTTGTAAGTTTGTTAAGAATACGTAATAAATTGATGCAAGAAAAAACGTTTCTCCACGAATATGGTAGATTATCTCCTATTTCAAGATTATCTAGAGCCACATCTGTCTGTTCTCCAATAACACACATAGGAAAATCCAATATAGGAATACTGCAAAAAAAAAAAGTATATTTATAAGATACATTTTCATTAATCTTTGATTTATATATATGTATACATATGGTTTTACAAATAGAACTTACACATTTTTGGTCTCAATATATGCTAGAATATTCTGATTTAAAAACTTTAAAACAAGTGGTATGCAATTAGCAAATACTAAATGTTGTGACATAAATTCGAACTGATATATGTGATTTAGTTTAAAATGTTTCAACAGAAGAAGTAATATAGCAGATACTGCTTTAACAATAATTTCTTTATGCCTGCTTACATCAATACCAAGTTTCATTGACTGAAAAACAGTCATGCTGTGAAACATAAAAATATTTTGTATATTAAAAGAGGACTTTAAAACATATATTATTTTAAGCATTATTAAATTTATATAATAAACTTACGGCATTTGCCCTGGTAAAACATCAGCCATAATATTGGTACTATCCGTCTTAGCTTTACTAGTGGGTGCAGCAGCTAATAAAATCTTTAATAATGCAATCATATATTGTGGTACAAATGGTAATATAGCATGATATACAATTTCTGTTGGTGTTTGACGAATTGGAAACCTTGGAGTGCTTATAGGATTTCTGAGCATTTGTTCCTCTTTTTGGATTTGGATTTCGGCTAAAGACGTATACATATGCTAAAAATATAAACACATATATTTTACCTATTCTAAATTTAAATTTGAATTTTTAAATATAGAATGTACAATAATTTAACTTACTCTTTTAAGAGTATTAACACCTTCGAGTATTGGCTGTGGTAAACCTGCCAAACTTTGTCTGTCCCCCTCTAAGTTGTAACCAACAAATTTTAATCTTGACACTTCAAGAAAAGTATCGACGTCCTTTTGTCTCACTTTTGGTGTCCATGGTAAACCTACGATAAGTAAATTGCTTTTAACAAATAATACGTTATATTTTTAATTAATAACTTCTCTCTCATTCTTTCTCACTTTTCAAAACTGTAATGTATTAATAAAAATATTACTTTTCCCCTTAGTAAGTTGTGGAGTATCAGGTCTTATTTGAGGTTGATTGTTTTCATTTTGACAGTAAGTTCGCAACTGGGTCAAAACAGCTTGATTCATAAATACATTAGCTTCTCCTTCACCTTCGTTATTTGTGGTATTGTTTCCCATTTCTGCACCTTCATATTCCATTCCTAAGCCTGGTTCATCCAGCGAACTTTGTTTCATTAGGAACTGAAAGTATGAATTGTTAAATAATAATTAAAAATTTTTCAAATATATTTTTATACAAAAATATAACATACTCGTCGATAAGATCTGTGATTCTTTTTCTGATTTTGTGTTTCAATCAAATCTGCTGCACTGATGGGAGGAGAGCTAGCTCTCATAGTCCTAGCAACTTCTAAAGTGTCTTCTTGTTGCGTATCAAGATCAGCTTCTTCACGATACTGTTTTTTTAATTCTCTTAGTGTATCAATACCACCCAACGATACCAAAATTAATTTCCACAGCAATAAAAGAACCTTTTTCATTGGAAAATGTGGGGCTGCTCCACTGCAAAAGTATGTTACCATGCCAAGAAGTTTAACTATAAGTAACTCTTCACCATATGGATTTATTAAATCTTCTTTGAAAGATTCAACATTATTCTTATAAATACTGTGCTCTAAATTTTTCATTTCTTCCCTCATCACTTCTGTTATAATATATAAAACAGACAAAATGACTCTTAAATCAGTGGAATCGTCAAGACTAACAGATATTTTCCTCATTGCAGAAGCAGCTCTTCTACTATTCCTAAGAATATAAGTAAATTATTATCAAAGAATCATAATTGATACATGAAATAAAGTTGTACAAGAAAAAAATGAACATACGTAATTTCAATATTAAGAAGTTCAACAAATGCTGGGAAAATTCCAGCTTCATATAATAACATAACGTTTGTTCTGGTCCATTCACGTTGCTCTTCGTCAGATTGTACTTCAGCCCAACAACCTTGAGCCAAATACAAAATGCATCTTGCTGCCTTCATTCTCAATTGTTTGTTAGAAACTTCTAACTGATCTAATAATTTGTAAATTACAGATTTCTGTTGCGCCTCTGATAAATTTTGCCACCATGGTCTCAATTTGTACAATTCCATTTGCTCTTCAAATGCCTGTATATGAACACGTTCATGTTATATTAATATTTCGTAGATTGTTATAGAGATGCCTATACTCACTGTGAGGTTAACATGTAATTCAGATTGTTCTGAATAGCTGTACAATTCAGCAATTTCATTGGCATGCTTATCCGCATCGTCATAAACGAAGTCCAAATCTGTAGATTTAGATGTTTCCTGAACACAGAAACAAAAGAGAGAGGACATGCAAATGTTACTATCACAGTGTTAGCATTCTCTTATTTTTTTTTCTTATTTCAATAAAATATCAATTATAAGTATTGTATATACCATTTTATGTATGTTAATTTCAACGATTATTATTCAGAAAAGGATATGAGATGTTATTCACGTATCGTTTTTTTTTGATTTGATAAACAGATTGTGACAATCCACATTAAACAGTAGTATATGCTTTTGTCAAAAAGGTTAGAGACGACTTGATCCACGCCGATGACCGTTACGTATTTTTGCCAGGATTTTCGCACTTAGTTGACAAAGCATTTACTCACTTCGGTGCTCATAATTTGTTGCTGTAGAACTATTCGGGGAAGATCACGCTTCCCATTCCCATTCGCATCCATCGCTACGTCACGCATTTTCTAATAGTGATTGGAGATGCAGTATGTAATGCATCTCAGACTTAATTTATGAATCGATATCTTTTCTCGACTACTCGAATCGTCTGCGGATGTTCGATCAAAGGGTTTTATTATCGATTTTTTAAACAAAAAAAAAAAAGGAAAAAAAATCGATTTGCTATATTGTATTCGACAGTATTCAATATTTGAATATATTCAAAATTTTATTAATGAGAACTGTGAAGTCTAAGGCTAGATATTTCTATACTTTGCAAATCTATTAAATGATCGTTGGCAACATTGAATATAAGATGATTGGTCCGTAGGATCTTTTTAGAGATTTTCGCAAGAATTTCTATAAATATTGGTATGTCATAGCTTCCATTTTGAAAAGCGAAGTTACTCGAAAAGCACGTTAAACTGCTCTTCACACACTTTCCGGATAAACGCGTCTGCTTGCGCGTCTCTTTTAGTGACTTTATATTTTGAACAGGCAATATTACAAACGAATACGGTACATAATTGTATAAAAAAAAAAAAAAAATGCAAGGGACAATCATAGAAAATTTAAGCGGTAGAAAGCTCTCGGTACTTGTAATATTACTTGTTATCGCACAAATAGTTTGTTTTCTAATAGGCGGGCTTATTGGTAAGTGAAATGTCAAATATTTTAAAATTGTTTTCTATAGTTCAAGTGTTCTAATCTTTATTTTAGATATATCAGAAAATAAACTTAAACGGTTGTGTATTTATTTTTTAAAATTTTATGATGAAAAATTTAAAAAAATTGATCTATTTGTAAAATTTTATGGAATAAAATTAATGAATTCAATTATTTCAATTAATGAAATTTATTATTGTAAATAACTATTTATAATTCTATTACATTGTATGTATGATATTTTAGCTCCAACTCCAGCTAGTAGTCAAAATATACTTGGTACACCTTGTAAGGATATTCGTATAAATGGCTCTGAACCAGGAGGAAAAAAATGGTTTTATTCAAGAGGAAAAGGGAAATGTATTTCTGTTGACATGAATCGGTTTAGTTTTGACAGTCATCATCAGGCATATCAAGTTGTTTACACATTTCAGGTAAGTTTTTAAAATTATGTTATGTCAAGAAGTGTTAATGATATCTAAAAATCTGACAATTTATCATTTTTCTTACAGATGCCTGTGCCTCGAAATAGCATGCAACTTGATTATTCTAGATGGCAACAAAATTTGATAGGTGTTTTGCAAGTGGATATTGTTTATCATAGTCAGATAGAAATTGGTGATTTATCAAAAAAATATATATTTATAAATAAACATCAATTGTGGGTATTAACAGTTATTTTTTTTATAGCTCCTAGGACTAAGATAACATTGGATGCAAGGCTTGCTTACAGAAATAAAGGAGATCCGGATGATGCTTGGAAACCATATGCAGCCTCTGTAGTAGAAAGAATTCTGGATTGTAGCATTGATGATGTAAGTACAGTTATAATAATTGCATTGTTTGAAACAAATATACATTTATTCACATCAAGTTATTTTGCATAGGCAATGGAACAGTATAATTATAATTGTAGTGTGGTACCATTATTTGAACTTGGATCTTTATTTCATGATTATTATCTTCTAAACATTCGTCTTCCTGCTGACACTGATAGAAACATTAATCAGGGTTTGGGACATATAACTGATTTATGGCTCACAGTAAATATATAGCATTTAAAGCAAAAAATTTAATTTTACCTTAAGATTCTCGTAAGTATTAAAAATTAATATTTCTATATTTCAGGCTATCAATCAAAATGGTGGATTTACAAAAGTATGGGTCAGTTTAAAAACCATTTACTTTCCAATTGTGTTGTGTGTCCTTATTTGGTACTGGAGGAGAGTACACATGCTTTCCAGATCACCAGCTCTTTTAGAATATTTACTTTTAGCATTGGGCATAGCTCTATCATTTTTAAATTGTAAGTTATATAATTTTGCTATACAAGAATTAATTATTTATGTTTGAATATAATTTTTTTAGTGCCTCTGGAATATTTAACACTTGCTTATGATATGCCATTTATGCTTCTATTGGGTGATATTAGACAAGGAGTGTTTTATGCAATTCTTTTATCTTTTTGGCTTGTATTTGCTGGAGAACATCTTATGGTAAAAATATCAGATATATATGACAATAATTTGATTTTTATGTACTAATGAATTTTTTTGGTTTATGCATCATCTTTTATCACAGATACAGGTAAGTTTAGTTATAATTTTTTGTATGTGATTGCATTTTATCATGAAAATTTAATTTTTTATTGCTTCTTAATTAATTAGGAAGGTGAACAGAGAAACTCTCTAAAGTGTTACTGGCGTCATCTTTCTGCAGTAGGAATTGGATGTCTATCATTATTTGTATTTGATATGTGTGAACGTGGGGTCCAATTACGAAATCCATTCTATTCAATTTGGGTTACAGATCTTGGAACTAAATTTGCTGTATCCTTTCGCACTAAAACTTCTTTTTACATTCAAATAATTTGCATTCCTTGACTTACAACAAACTAGTTATCGTTTATAATTTTAGCCGGAGTATCTGCTGGCGTGTATTTAATATTTTTGGCTTATATGATCTGGAAAGTATTTATGAATATTAGTGCAAAACGAGCTGCATTACCCAGTATGAGCTCGGCACGACGTTTACATTATGAAGGTGTAATATATCGATTCAAATTTTTGATGATCGCTACACTTTTATGTGCCTCTTTAACAGTCGTTGGATTTATTCTTGGTCAGGTATTTATTTAAATATTATGTTTAAAATATAGTGAGATGTTAAGAAAAAGTAAATTAATGAAATAAAGAATTGTACAATACGCATGATATATATAGGTCGCGGAAGGGCAATGGAAATGGGATGAAGAATTACATTTGGAGATGACATCAGCATTTTTCACTGGTGTATATGGAATGTGGAATATTTACATCATAGCATTATTGTGCTTATACGCACCATCGCACAAACAGTGGCCTATCGAACCATCCGGTAACTATATTTATTTTTATATTTTTTTATGAACTATATTGTATTCTTAATTTGGCGTGAATTTAATTCTGTTTCAGAAAATAGTATTAGTGAAGAAATTGAATTTTCACGTTTATCTACCGATCCTAACGAAATGTTATCTTTGACAGCATTCGCACGAAAAGCAGCAGTAGAATAAGTAGTACACATTTTTTATAAAAAATAGAGCAGTGGTAATTGACCAGTCAACACAATTTTGTACTTAAACATAGCCTGGGAAAGCTATAAATTACTTAAGGAATTAAGGATTTCTGATATTTATAGAGAATGCAAGGACTGATAATACTCTTACAAGTAATCTTTTAATGCCAAAATTAATTATTTATTAAGAAAAATATTTTTTATGCTTTACTTTTTCTACATGTTTTCTTAATATTTTATATACTTAACGACTTACTTAATAAGTATCTCTAAGCGAAATAAGTAGGGAGTCTTTTTTTTTCATTACGTCCGTCTCTGTACGTGATCATGCTAGAATACTGTACAGATATTGTTACGTTATATAACATTCCATTTCTGTATTACTTACAGTAATAGTCTTTAATGCATTAAATAATCCACAATACCTATTTTCTTTAACAATCAATAATCTATTCCGTCGTTTTATACAACATATCAATATTGGGCATTTATCTATTATATATTTAACATTTGTAAACATGCATTTTAATAGTAGCTATATAATATTGAACACGGGTATCTCAATATTATTTTGCATTATTATTATGCAAAAAAAAAAAATTAGTCTACATTTGGCAGTATTAAGTTCCTTGATAAATTTTTAATATTACATATATTTCTTACAAATTTTTACTAATTCCGATGCATTACTGATATAATTATTAGAAAGTAAGATGCATGCAACAAAGTAGATCTGAACAGAAAAGAGGTGCAATAAATTTATACACAATTGCAATTTAGTAGAATGAATTTAGTGCACACTAGTTATTTATATAGAGTACTTATATTTGATGCAGCAGAATTAGTATTTTCTGTATCTTCGATGTATTAAACGAAACGTATTAATGAACAATAATCTCGAACAAATTTTGTATATCATTAATCATAATATTTTTGAAATAATTTTAATTGTATGAAGAACTAAAATGTAGTAACCTATTAGTATTTTAAGGAACTCCAATTTCTGTGTATCTATTTTTATTATTAGATTTTGGTACAACATTTTTGAAAAATTCAACAATTTTTTTGTTGTATACAAAATTTTATATTCGCAACTTTTATACATTTTTTAAATAAATCAATTTGTTAGAATAACTTTATGGAATTACTAAACATTATGATAACATCATATTGTGCGATATATGTATGTATATATGTTAATTTTCTCGTTATAGGTGTGTCTTTTGTTTCAATGTTATTAAATGTCCGGATAAAACGCGAATTGTGCGACATTCGACTTACCGAACAATTCAATTTCTTTTCAACCGTCCCCACAATATTTATTTACTTACAAGAGTAATTGACGTGTAATTGAATTTTTTCATCATAATTCCATCAGTATGTGCGCTTATTTAGTTTATCGTAACATGTGTGTGAATGGTTAACTTCGAATGCCAAGTTTTTTAAAATTTAACAGATATTGGATTTTATATTGTTGGTTAAAAAAGGTATTTATATGATATTTCTAAATATTTTGTACATTGTTCATATTTTATTATCATTTGCACATACAAATAGCAGAATTTTCATAATACATTTAAATTCAAATTCCAAAACATACGTCATTAATGTACTATTTCACAGTGTTACCAAGAGCTAGTAATTTTTTCAATCACTATTTGCTTACTTTTCCAATTAAATTTAAATTATTTTCACGTTTAAAATTTATTCCCAGTGATTTTCTATTTATTTTAGTTGTATTGTATCGTAAATGCCTTGCGTAAACTTTAAAATCGTAAACAATTTATTACGTAAATGGTTGTACATTGTATATTGTAATCATTTTATTTACAGAATATAACATTAGTTTAATATTTCATATAAATATATCTGCAACAAAATAACTGAAGAAAATATCGAGCAATGAAATGTAAATAAGTAATGAAACATATTCTCTTTGGAACTTACGATTTCTTTTTAAAATATTTTTTAATACAATCTATCTATCGGCTATGGAATTTGAATTTCACAATTTTTCCAGAAAAAGAAACAAGAGGTAATATTAATAGACAGTTTATATAGTATTCGGTCTAATTCTAGTGATATTGGTTGACCGAAAGAACCAGCGGTGATTCGTGGATCATAGCAGGGATTTTGTATTGTGCGCGCGCATTCACTGGCACAACGCGAGACAGAGGTAGCAGCAAGCAAGAGAGCAGTGCAGAAACGGAATCAGATGCGGTGAAGTCCGTGAGTTGACAGTGGGGTGCACGAGAACAGGCGTTTCGTAGTGGTGGAGGCGGAGGAGGTTTAGGGGAAAGAATTGTTTTCTGTGTGCGCGAGGAACGTGTCGACGAGTAACGAGTCTCCGAAACGGGTCGTTGTGGGTGATAGTGAAATGATTCTCTAGCCCAAGGATTTTGACTTGGTCCGGACGGACAAAGAGGAAGACCTTTTGTATATCGCTGCTGTTCAAGGGATCGTGCGTTCGCTTATCCGTAGGAAACATCATTAAACGCTGACGTCGCGGAATTCGTCTCGTGTCGTTTTCCTTAGTGGCGAGCGTCCGAACATCCAACGTCTGATTAACGACCATCACGCGCGCGTGTCTTTGTTTTTTTTTCTCGGTGCTGAATAACTGTACGAGAGGAAAATAGAGAGAGAGTGTGTTATATCACAGTGGCGAAACAGACCAATATTCGTTTCGTGGCTTCTGCTGTGGTGAATAAATCCGCGTAGCAGTCAGAGGCCCTTCCTAAGCGACAATCGTCGGGGGCTCAGCTGATTCAAGGACTTGCTGCTGAAGGGCTCTGCTGTGTTAATAGACGATAAATATGTCGTCCCCCAGCGCTGGAAAACGACGTATGGATACGGACGTTCTCAAATTGTATCCTTGAAATTCATTTTTATTTCTCCTACTTGCTATTTGTATCTCTGTCTTCTTTCTCCTCCTTCGTCTTCTTCTTTTTCTTCTCATCCCCACCTCTTCCCTTCCTTGTCTCTCTCCTCTTTCCCCCTTCATTCCATCCCCTCCGCCTCTACGTCTGCTCCCACTCGCTTGTTCTCGTTCTTTCTTTCTCTTTCGCTCTATCGCACGTGCTTGCAATCGTGTACAAGAGAGGCCTGCACATGGGTTGTGAATGCAAGACCTACGCAGTATGCATGTGCATGTTACCGCGAGATCGGTTGTTTATCAGGTATGAGCCAGTTTATAGGTCGGCGAGAAACAACGCGGTGCAATGTCAATGGTGTTTCACGAGAGAGACGATGAAGGATATTTAATTCCTCGTTTTGTCGATGACGGGACACAGCTG